AGGTGTGTGTGTTTAAGACGAGGTGTGTTTAAGACGAGGTGTGGGTGTTTAAGACGAGGTGTGTGTGTGTTTAAGACGAGGTGTGTGTGTGTTTAAGACGACGTGTGTGTGTTTAAGACGAGGTGTGTTTAAGACGAGGTGTGTGTTTAAGACGAGGTGTTTGTGTTTAAGACGATGTGTGTGTGAGACGAGGTGTGTGTGTGTGTTTAAGACGAGGTGTGTATGTTTAAGACGAGGTGTGTGTGTAAGACGAGGTGTGTGTGTTTAATACGAGGTTTTTGTGTGTTTAAGACGAGGTGTGTGTTTAAGACGAGGTGTGTGTGTAAGACGAGGTGTGTGTGTTTAAGACGAGGTGTGTGTGTGTGTTTAAGACAAGGTGTGTGTGTAAGACAAGGTGTGTGTGTGTAAGACGAGGTGTGTGTGTTTAAGACGAGGTGTGTGTGTTTAAGACGAGGTGTGTGTGTAAGACGAGGTGTATGTGTGTTTAACACGAGGTGTGTGTGTATAAGACGAGGTGTGTGTGTGTTTAAGACGAGGTGTGTGTGTTTAAGACGAGGTGTATGTGTGTGTAAGACGAGGTGTGTGTGTGTAAGACGAGGTGTGTGTGTTTAAGACGAGGTGTGTGTGTAAGACGAGGTGTGTGTGTAAGACGAGGTGTGTGTGTAAGACGAGGTGTGTGTGTAAGACGAGGTGTGTGTGTGTTTAAGACGAGGTGTGTGTGTTTAAGACGAGGTGTGTGTGTGTAAGACGAGGTGTGTGTGTGTTTAAGACGAGGTGTGTGTGTAAGACGAGGTGTGTGTGTGTAAGACGAGGTGTATGTGTGTGTAAGACGAGGTGTGTGTGTTTAAGACGAGGTGTGTGTGTGTAAGACGAGGTGTGTGTGTTTAAGACGAGGTGTGTGTGTTTAACACGAAGTGTGTGTGTGTAAGACGAGGTGTGTGTGTTTAAGACGAGGTGTGTGTGTTTAAGACGAGGTGTGTGTGAGACGAGGTGTGTGTGTGTAAGACGAGGTGTGTGTGTGTAAGACGAGGTGTGTGTGTTTAACACGAGGTGTGTGTGTGTAAGACGAGGTGTGTGTGTAAGACGAGGTGTGTGTGTGTGTAAGACGAGGTGTGTGTGTGTAAGACGAGGTGTGTGTGTGTAAGACGAGGTGTGTGTGTTTAACACGAGGTGTGTGTGTAAGACGAGGTGTGTGTGTGTAAGACGAGGTGTGTGTGTGTAAGACGAGGTGTGTGTGTTTAAGACGAGGTGTGTGTGTTTAAGACGAGGTGTGTGTGTTTAAGACGAGGGGTGTGTAAGACGAGGTGTGTGTGTTTAAGACGAGGTGTGTGTGTGTAAGACGAGGTGTGTGTGTGTGTGTGTGTTTAAGACGAGGTGTGTGTGTGTAAGACGAGGTGTGTGTGTTTAAGACGAGGTGTGTGTGTTTAAGACGAGGTGTGTGTGTTTAAGACGAGGTGTATGTGTGTGTAAGACGAGGTGTGTGTGTGTGTAAGACGAGGTGTGTGTGTGTAAGACGAGGTGTGTGTATGTTGAGTAGGGAGCAGCAGTGTAGTGCTTAGCGCAATGCGCTACGAAACCGGCCGGTCCTGAGCCTCTCCTAGGCCTCCTTAGCCTCAAAACGAGTACGCACCTTGTACGAGAGTACACGGTGCGCATTGCCATCAAATCGATAAAAAATAGAAGTGTGAACGTCAACGCTTGGAAGACAAAGGCGGCCGGGCGTGGCGCTGACCACCCACCCCTTCTTGTTCCGCCCCAGACTTTCATCGGCACCACTCGCTCACCCAACTCGTCACGACAGCCTGGGAACGCTGCCCACGGGGTTGATCTTTGCGCGGCACAAGCACAGGTGGTGTGCAGATAGTCCCCGTGCCGTGAAGGATAACATGGAGCACGGCCCATTGCCCGAAACGTCGCCCTTTTAAAGACCGACCGTGCGTGCGCGCTGCGTCTCGCCAAGATGGCCTCTTGATTGAGCTCGGCCAGTGAGGACGCACGCCCCGCCCACGCCTGTGACGTCATGGGGATGGGGGGGGGGCGTGGCTCGTGAAATTCCTCAGCACCGTATGGACGGGACTGTCGTTTCGATTGCCGGTCCCGCCCGCTGACTTTACGAACCTTTTGCTCGTGAAATGTCCGGCAAACCCGGAGTTATGGGCAAATCAAGCAGCTGATTGTGTCTGTCATACCGCTGTTGGTTTATTGTCGCATCCATTGGTTCATTCGATAACCTCCTGTGTAAGCTCAGGGCGCGATCGAGGGTAACACATCCGTAACAAAACAGAATTACCTCCCCAACTTTGAAAACAAACAAAATATTTCTCGGCTTTTTTGTAGCCCGTGACGTGAGCTGGAGCGCGGGCTGATATGGGTGAATGTCGACATCTTACTCGATAATGCACCTCTTTTTATACGCACGGATTAATTGTGAGCTCTCAGTCTAACTCCGCTCAAGCCACGTGACTTATGCGTGGCCACGCCCACTCGGAACCCCTCCCCTTCTCCCCCGCCCACCGTGAAAACAGACGCCGCTCCATGCAGCAGCAGCAGCGCCCAGGCCCTGATGCAGCCTTCCACCTCGTTCCCTCTCCTCATCTCTGCTGACGGCCCCTCCGTCCTGTTGCTCTCATTACCCATCCCTTGTCGTCTCCTCTCTTTCTCGTGGTTGTAGCCACCACCTGAACAGTATTACCTCGGTGTTCACCAACTTGTTATCCTCGATTTTGGATGTCCGCCGATCGCATCGGGATCTCTACACGATTGCGGACAGAGAGAGAGAGAGAGAGAAAGTGACGAGATAATGTGACGAGATAATGTGATGGGATCAGGAGTGGCCCGTCCATATAGGGCTACAAGTTAAGTGGGGGGGGGGGGGGGGGGGGGGGAGGGGGGGGCAATTTCGATTTTAAAAAAATACAAATAAAGAAAAAAACTAATGTAACAAAAATTATAATAAAATAACGAAGATGTCATTTTCAATTCTGTGCTCGTACAGAGGGGAATGTGAATTACAATTCATTTTTGAGAATGCATTGCTTGGACAAACGGACGGACAAACCGAATAATTACGGCTCTGTTACCAACAACAAAAAACCGCTTGATAAACATTAAACGGAAAATAGGGGCAAAATGTTTCCCAGTTTACGTAAAAAAACCTCGGCCTAGGTCTGCCCTTGGGGCTTTAGGGGTGGGAGCACCAACTGCATGGTTCGCCTAGGGCCGCCCCTGGATGAGATAAAGTGATGAAATAAAATTGTGAGATCGAGTGCTGAGAGATTTACTGTTTTCTGTATTTAAGGAAGCCCGTTGAAAGGTTTTCGCAGGTCGATATCATTATCCGCGAAATTAGCTATTCACGAGCATCTCCGGAACGTATCCCTCGCAAATAACGAGGGAACATTGTACAGCACTTGTACGTCTATATATACGGTAACACCGCCATGTACCTGTCCCCGATTTACGTCGCTTCGCAAAAACGTCGTCACGTTATTAATACAACCACACGATTTGCATCGCCTACAAATCCCACAATTACGTCGCTGACGGCATCGTCATCGTCCGTCCTCTCTCGTTATCCATCGCCTCTCAGCCTCCGCCTCCACATCAAAGCGTAACGTGTAACCACGTGGCTCACAGCCAACTTGACCCCAGGGTCACCAAAGTGGAGGAGGCGACCGCCCAGCCAGCGGCGATCGTCTGACCCAACATTCATTTCTCTCTCACTCTCACTCGCTCTCGATCCCTCCTTCTCGCTTTCCCTCTTTCACTCTCCATCCCATATCTCTCTCTCTCTCACTCTCACTCACTCTCGATCCCTCCTTCTTGATCTCCCTCTTTCATTCTCAATCCCATATCTCTCTCTCACTCTCACTCGCTCTCGATCCCTCCTTCTCGCCCTTTCTCTTTCACTCTCCATCCCATATCTCCCTCTCTCACTCTCACTCGCTCTCGATCCCTCCTTCTCGCCCTCCCTCTTTCACTCTCCATCCCATATCTCTCTCTCACTCTCTTTCACTCGCTCTCGATCCCTCCTTCTCGCCCTCCCTCTTTCACTCTCCATCCCATATCTCTCTCTCTCTCACTCGCTCTCGATCCCTCCTTCTCACCCTCCCTCTTTCACTCTCCATCCCATATCTCTCTCTCACTCTCACTCGCTCTCGATCCCTCCTTCTCGCTCTCACTCTTTCACTCTCCATCCCATATCTCTCACTCTCTCTCACTCTCACTCGCTCTCGATCCCTCCTTCTCGCTCTCACTCTTTCACTCTCCATCCCATATCTCTCTCTCTTTTACGATCAGAGGAAACGAGAAGATGCTCGGTGCAGTCGGCACTTTGCTTCGTTCATCATTTTAAAGATTCCACAATAGATTTCACGCTCTGCTCTCCTTACCCCCTCTCCCTCCCTCTCTCTCTCTCCCTCTCTCAGTATCACTTTCCACACACAAAGCGCTTGCCACAAATGAAACCACAGCGCCTCGCTGATCTCTGATCGAATCATCCTCGCAGCAGCGGCTTTTGTAGGGCCGCCGAACAAAAAACGGTCAACGCATCGCGCGGCGCTTTTTTCAGGCGCGCTTCTGCGGCCGTCTGGAACGCTCTTCCTTCCAATACTAGGAAGCCACTGGCGTCGTGCAGTTTTAAATCATCGAGATTGAAAACTAATTTCTTCAGAACTGCTTTTTGTGTTGAGTGTCGTGTCCTGCCCTCGCACCTCCCATTGGCGCGGTTGGCTATGTACGGTGCGAAAGAATTCCAACATCCATACTTCCTCTCTATCTGTCCCTCTCTCTCCCCCTCTTTCTCTGTTCCCTCTCTCACTCTCCATCCTATCTCTCCGTATCACTCTCCATCCTCCCTCTCTCTGTCCCCTTCTCCCCGTCTCTCTCATCCCTATCTCACGTCTCCATCCCATCTCCATCCCTCTGTCTCTCTCTCTGTCCCTCTCTCGCCCACCTTCCCCACCTCCATCCCTCTCTCGTCCCTCTCCCCGCCGCTCTCGTCACTCGCCGCGTCTCCCGCCCCCTCTGAAGTCGGTGTCTCTCGCTCCGGGCCGGAACAGCTGAGCCCGGAGCACCATGGCGAAGCCGGCCCTGAGCTGGCGATTGAACTTGGCGAAGAGCAGCGGGTTGAGCGCCGAGCTTATGTAGCCGCTGAGCACGGTGATCCTGTAGGGCACGAACAGCGCCTCGTCCACCAGCGACACCACGTCCACGAGGTAGAAGGGCAGGCACGACAGCAGGAAACAGCCGATGATTATCCCCAGCTGCTTAGTCGCCTTGTGCTCGCTCTTGGCCGCCGCGGTCGCTTCGGCCGATGACGATTTCCCTCCTCCTCCTCCTCTTCCTCCTCCTCCACCTCCTCCGCCGCCGCCAATGCGACGCGCCTGCAGCCTGGCCGCCCGGTAGATCTGCCCGTACAGTGCCACGACGAACGCCACCGAAGCGATGTAGGGCCCCATCTGGATGACGAATATGATGAGGCCGTGCACGTAGAAGAAGCAATCGTTGGGGCAGAGGATGCGGTGGATGGTGTTGGGCGAGAGCGCGGGGCTCAGGCTGAAGAGGATCGGCACGGAGACGAGAGCGGCGCCGAGCCAGCAGAGCGCCAGCATCGCCCCCACGGTGCGCTCGGTGACGCGCGCCGCGTAGCGCAGGGGATCGCACACGGCCACGTAGCGGTCGTAGGCGATGCAGGCGACGTGCAGGATGGAGCACGTGGTGAGCGAGAAGTCGAGGAAGAAGTGCCAGTGGCAGAGGAGGTCGGCGTAGAACCAGCAGCTGTACACGGCCTTCACCGTGGCCAGGGGCATGACGAGTGTACCCACGAGGAAGTCGGAGACGGCCAGCGACAGGGCCATGACGTTTGGCCAGGAACGGAGGCGTCTGAAGAAGGCCACCGTGGCGATGAGGAGGAGGTTGCCCGCGACCGTGGTGGCGTTGACGAGGGCGACCAGGGCGAGGACGATGGAGCGGTCTCGCACCGAGAGGCTGGGGCCGGTGCAGTTGAGGTCGTAGAAGCTGATGGTGCAGGAGGAGTTCGCCATGGCTCGAGCGAGAGAGAGTGTGAGAGAGTGAGAGAGTGTGAGAGAGTGCGTGAGAGAGAGAGAGTGTGAGGGAGTGTGTGAGAGAGAGTGTGAGAGTGTGAGAGTGTGAGAGAGAGTGTGAGAGTGTGAGAGAGAGTGAGAGAGTGAGACAGAGTGAGAGTGAGAGTGTGAGAGAGAGAGAGTGAGAGAGAGTGAGAGTGAGAGAGAGTGTGAGAGTGTGAGAGAGAGAGTGAGAGTGAGAGAGAGTGTGTGAGAGAGTGTGAGAGAGTGTGAGAGAGAGTGTGAGAGAGAGAGTGTGTGAGAGAGTGAGAGAGAGTGTGAGAGTGTGAGAGAGTGTGAGAGAGAGTGAGAGAGAGAGAGACAGTGAGAGAGAGAGAGTGAGAGAGAGTGTAAGAGTGTGTGAGAGTGTGTGAGAGAGAGTGAGAGAGAGAGAGACAGTGAGAGAGAGTGTGAGAGTGTGTGAGAGTGAGTGAGTGTGTGAGAGAGAGTGAGAGAGAGTGTGAGAGAGAGTGTGAGAGAGAGAGTGTGAGAGAGAGTGTGAGAGAGAGAGTGTGTGAGAGTGTGAGAGAGAGAGAGTGTGAGAGGGACAGTGAGAGTGAGAGAGAGAGTGAGACAGTGAGAGAGAGAGAGTGTGAGAGTGAGAGTGTGAGAGAGAGTGTGAGAGAGAGTGAGTGTGTGAGAGAGAGTGTGAGAGAGAGTGTGAGAGAGTGTGAGAGAGAGTGTGAGAGAGAGAGTGTGAGTGTGTGAGAGTGTGAGAGAGAGTGTGAGAAGGACAGTGAGAGTGAGAGAGAGAGTGAGACAGTGAGAGAGAGAGTGTAAGAGTGTGAGAGAGACTTTGGTTTGTTTGCTTGGGATAAAGCGACGATGGTTGTCTGGTGGAGACCGTTTGGATGAATCGACCGCTCGCTCGCACCTTGGCCCGGTCTCTCGCTGCCTGTCCCGCGTCTCCCTTCCTTCGGAGACAGGTGATCGGCGCGCCGTCTCACCCCGGGGTCGTCCTTGTGAATAAAACAACAGCGACAACGACGTTGACGGTGCACATGCCACGGATGGCGTTGATGACGTATGTACGGTGGACTTCTTTCGCACCGTATACGTGGCCAACCGCGGTATCGTCTGGCGTGCGGTGCAACAATTAACAAAACAATCTGAACAACATTCGTCAACAACGCGGGGTGTGTGCGTGTGCCACTTTAAAAGAACACATCTGTGATATAGGCGACGTTTCGGGCAATGGGCCGTCTTCATTAGCACACGTGCAAATTGCATCGATCGTGAGATGCAATGTGCCTATAAATCCAGCGCCGTGTGTGAAGGCAGCAGCGATTGTTGGTCGATCACGCGAAACTCCTTCCCCGTGGACGTCGACGAGGAGGAGGTGGAGGAGGGGGAGGAGGAGGAGGAGGAGGAGAAAGCGGCACTGCAACTTGCGGACTGACACCACCTGTCCCTTCTGCATGGGATTGCGTGTTGCCCCCTTCCACGCATAAGCAACGCATTACATCTGATGAAAACACCTTCATGTATAGAGGACCCCCCAGAGCTTGGGAAATTGCTGGCAGCAACCGGCGCCTGCTGCCCTCCAGCTTGCCTGTGGCGCACGATGCGACCACCAAGTTCGCGGAGTGCTCGCCGAGACGCGTGGGGGCTCATACGGTCGCACCCATCGCAGATGCACAGCAGCACCTGGCTGATCGCGCAAAGGAGCATGAACCATCATCGCGAGGACCTCCGGTCATCCTCGCGAGGACCTCCGGTCATCCTCGCAGCGGCGCCGTTCGGCGAAGCCGTCGGACAAAGGCGGTGGTCACCGAGTCGCGCGGCGCTTTCAGGTGCGCTCCTGCGGCCGTCTGGAACGTTCTTCCTTCCGATGTTCGGAAGCCACTGGAGTTTTGCGCGCTTTCAAGTTACCAAGATTGAAAACTCATTTCTTTGGAACTGCTTTTCGTGTTGAGTGCTTTGTCCCTCTCCAACACCTCCCCCCCCCACACACACACCGCACCTCCGATTATTGTGGTTGCCTACGTACGGTGTGAAAGAAGTCCAACACACTGCTCGTGTGGCTAACACCTCGCCCGTCCGCTCATGCCTCCCCAGCGCTGATGTTTACACACCGCGACAGCGGCTCACGTGAGGCTGAGTCGACCTTGGGAATGCGCCGATAGCGGTTCAGATATCCGTCAGCGATGTTGCCCGAGAGCGGGTTTTTAAACTCGGGTCAGCCGGATTCGTAGCGCGGTGCCGCCAACCGCTGGGCCACCGCTCACCACAGAGCACAAAACGCACACAAGCCCGCAATCATTGCGTGCTTTATCTGAACCTCAAGACCCGTTCTCAGGAGGGTGCCGTTGTCAAAATGGGGGTGGAAACCACGGTGAAGATGATGGTGAAGATGATGATGATGATCATCATCTTGGTTTTGATGATGCTCTTCATGATTTGATGATTCATGTGATGATTATTATCACCATGATGATGAGACTTATTATCGTTGAGATGATGAAAACGACAATGGTAATGATGATGATCATGGTACTGATGACCACGATTTTTTTTAAATGATGATGATGATGATTCTGCTGCTGCTGCCGATGATGATGAAGTTCATCATTGCCAACTTCGTGGTAAGACAGATAAAATCGATGTTGATTGCGAACGACGACTTGGACACAAGATGGAGAAGCTGCGCGGCTGACTGGACTCGCCACCCAGAGTCCACCGGTTCGATTCCATCTCCCGGGGCGGAAAAACTGAAAATCCATCCCCCTCCCCCCTCCTCCTCCCCGCCCCCCCCCTCTCTCCGCCCAGCAGCAGTAGCAGCAGCTGCTGTATTAATGGTCACACCAGTCAGTTAGTCGATCGGCAGCTCCACCGCGCCTGGTGACATAAAGTGTGCGTACTCCGACCTCTTCAGGGGACGCCTGGCCAGCGGCGTGGAAGAGTAGGCCAAAGGTGCCCACGTAGAGGAGGGGCCCCTCCGCTCTTCCTCCTCTCGAGTGGAGGCGCCTAGCCAGCAGCGGTGTGAGCCAAGCGGTTGCAGAGCCGCACGATTTGTGGATCAAGAAGTTGATGATTGAGTTGTGGATCAAGAAGTTGATGACGACGATGACGGTGGTGGGATTACAACATCAATTGATTGCACAAAGACAACGCGACATCCATGATGTATAATACACACGGCAAACAACCACCACCCTCACCTGCAAGCACTTTACGCGTTCTCTCCACACCTTAAATGTCCCCACCTAAACCACATTTACAATCAATATCACGCGTTCAGAGTATTTGCGCGCAATACATATCCGCGCGACGATAACGCCACTTGCTTGCGGCTATCATTTGTGCTCGCCAGGTCGCTTCTGAGAAAGAGCTACGTAGCGAAAATGTACACGAAAAAAAGAATTGCTCAGTTGTAAACATTCACAGCGACAGCGACAATTCCACCACTCGCACCGCGCTCTTTGCTGTTCGAACGCATTCAAGTACGCGCATCGATCATATATATATACGCGCATGCAAACTCACGGACACACACACATGGACACACAGAGACACACTCACGCAAAAAAAAAAAATCATGCGCTCTCCCAGGTGCTCGAACCTAATTATTTCCACGGAGTTTCACACTTCCACTGCAGGCGTGGGATTTGAGACGAATCCGGCGGCTCCCTTTGGAGGTGGCCACACCTTTGTTGAGGCGTTGGTTAACCACAAGATGCAAAGCGCTGAGCGGTGGCACCACGTTCGACCAAAGTTCGCCTGACGCTGCTCCGACATTGTTACAGCGTTCGTCCAACGTTGGGCCAAGGTTGGTCGAACGTTGAGCCCAGGTTGGTCCAACGTTGGGCCAAGGTTGGTCCAACGTCCGTCCAACGTTGGGCCAAGGTTGGCCCAACGTCCGTCCAACGGTGGGCCAAGGTTGGTCCAACGTCCGTCCAACGGTGGGCCAAGATTGCTCCAACGTCCGTCCAACGTTGAGCCAAGGTTGGTCCAACGTTGGTGCAACGTCCGTCCAACGTCGGGCCAGGGTTGGTCCAACGTTCGTCAAACGTGAGGCCAACGTTGGTCCAACGTTCGTCCAAAGGTAGTTCCAATCACGTGACCACGTTGGCTTAACGTTGCAATGTTCACGGAGTAGAAACTCGGCGACGTGAGTTCGGTTCCTGGCCCGCCGGCTGACGACGGTGGCGAGTGGTATCCTGCGTTGCTCCCCTTTCACGAACCCGCCATTGACCGGTGTGGTGAAGTATGGTTGGCCAAGCAACCCCCATGACCGCCACGGTCGTGGGCAGGCCTTCATCCGGCAGTGGCCTCACAAAGGGCCGCACGGTGCACACTGACACGGGGCAGTGGCATGGCCCGGCTGCGGCACGTTTCGCGGTTAGAATCCCAGCGGCCGCCCCAGTTAATACAGCAGTGTGCGCACTGACCCTAGCAATACTCCCACGCCGCCGTCTGCTTTGCTCACGGTGAACACTCAAGATCAACCGGGGGTTCATTCGCAAGGGTAGACCACTGTGCGCCGGCGTCAGGAGTCCAAATTTGCCAAATTCAGAAACTCAACTGGGATCACACTGCGCATCAGCGGCAACTATCACCCCCACCCCCTACTAGCATCACACCAATGTACAGCTGACAGTGGGGGGTGCCCTCGGTTAGACCACAGCAACCATCGGCCCCCTACTGGCTCGACTGATAACCAAGGCCACCACTCTTGCAAATGAGAATCCGATCGTTGGTACCTTCAGTTCAAACAGCGGCGCTGCCGTTTATGTAGCGGTGAGCAGAGCCGTCCCCAGGTTGGTACATTGCCCACAAACTCAACACTGCCCATAGACTCAACACTGCCCATAAGCACAACACTGCCCATAAACTCAACACTGCCCATAAACTCAATACTGCCCACAAACTCAACACTGCCCATAAACTCAACACTGCCCATAGACTCAACACTGCCCACAAACTCAACACTGCCCATAAACTCAACACTGCCCATAGACTCAACACTGCCCATAGACTCAACACTGTCCATAGAC